AGCTGCAAAATTATCAAAGAACGCATTCTTTGAATGGAAAAAACAAGGGATCGCCTCAGGCACCATCAAACAGGTCACTCAAAAAACTGAAAACCCAAAAGAAAGAGCTGCGCAGAAAACAAAGACAAGATCATGCCAGAATACGTGAAGATAAATACTCTAAAATCATGCATGCTCAAGAATTCGACCATAAGCTTTTCTACAAGCTAATTAGGGAGCGAGGTGCATCAAACAACCAAGACAGAGAAACCTTGATACTTGACGATCACGAACTAGATAGTGAAGAAGACATACTTAATTATTGAAAAACACATTTCGAAAGGCTTGCTACACCACAGGACGGTGACAAATTTGATCAGCAGACACACAAACTTGTCAGAGAAGAACTGATAAACCTAAACACAAGCCCAGACGATACACAAAAGATTAGAGAAAAGACCATTAGTTAAGTCATCAGTATATTGGCCAGAGGCAAGGCTCCTGACCACTTGTGCATCAAAATCGAACATGAAGCGGCGGAGAGCAACTGGTCAACTACCTAACTTGTCTGATCAACGACATCATCCAGCTACACCATGTCCCAGAAATTTTACAAACTGGCCTTCTGACACCCATCATCAAGAAAAACAAAGACCCAAAATTACCAGGCAATTACAGAAGCATAACAGTAACACCGGTTATTAACAAGCTACTTGAAGGAATTTTGCAAACTAAAGTTGATGACATCCTAGACCCCACACAAAATAAACTAAAACGAGGCTTTACCAAGAAAACAAACCCACTAAACGCTGCTCTTCTAATATCAGAAGGAATCAATGAAGCTTGGGACGCTGGAAAGCCTGTTGCTGTTATTACTCTAGATGCTGAAAAAGCCTTTGACAAAGTCAACTACCAACATCTATTAAGAAAGATCTACCTCAGCAGAATCGACCATAGCAACTGGCTACTGATAAAAACCCTACAAACAGAGACCCTGACTATGGTAAAGTGGAAGGGAAACTTGAGTCCAGCCTTTGCGTGCCAGCAGGGAATCCGGCAAGGAGTCACATTATCACCTAGCTTGTATAAGAGATATAATAACCAGATGTTGGACAGATGATGTGGCCATTATTGCAGACAATCCAGTCGACCTACAATGTACCCTGCATATTGTGCATAACTGCACACAATCTGACGGAGTGAGCATTAACTCATCAAAGAGTGATGCAGTTATATTTAACACCACGAAACAGAGAGAAAAAAACAGACCTGGAATTTAGGATCAGATCAAATACAGGAGGTGGAGAGAACTACTCATATCGGCTTGACCCGACAGAAAGGCAATAAACTAGCGGTAGGAGAGAGAATACAGAAAGGAAGACGAACTCTCCACGCTCTGCTGGGAGCCGGTCTACATGGGGAGAATGGTTTAAACCCGACAGTTTCCTATAAACTCTACACCACGTTCTCCAGACCCAGATTCAGCTACGGCCTCGAAGTCACCAGCCTAACAAGCAAGGATATTAAGACAGAGCTCGAGAAATTTGAAATCAAGTTCCTTAAAAATATCCAAGGCCTACCAGATAGATGCGGAAATATTGCAGCCTACATACTACTTGGAGCGATGCCCATAAAAGCGAGATGCAAACCTTACGTGAATAAAAAAAAAAAGGTATATAATTCAAGGAGAATTAATTTTAACAATTTTATAATGTCAAGTGAAATAGTTTTTACAATTGTTTTTGTTTTGAACATATTTTATTGACAATATGTCAAAGGGATTGGACACAAGTTCCAAAAACTTAGATAGTCCTCTCCCATTTTTACAATTGATAGGGAATAGATCGTTAGCGAAATTCAATTTAAGCTTCCATGACCCTCGCTAATAATTAACTTTTATTTTAAAAATTCTGCTCATACGGTTTAATAATGATCGTTATAATTGAAAAGGTAGATTACACACTAGCTGCAGAACTCTAGCTCTAGCCCGAAAATTCGGACAGATCAGGCAAAGAGCTACAGTTCTGCAGCAAGTACCACACAAGTGTATATTATTAATTATCATGTATGAATGAATTATATAGGGGTAAATCAAAATACCAGTAAGACGATTTACCAGTTATAGAATTAAATTTCTATATTGTTTAATACATGTACTTACCTTAAGAAGAAATATAACTTGAATCTTACCTTTAATTAATAAAAGGCACCGCGCAGGTGATGAAGGTTATTTGCATCATCTTATTTATAGGTTTGTATGTCATTAAAGATCGAAAACACCTGGTTCTCTTAATGTGTATCATATGATCATGTAAAGTAATAAAATCCAAAAGTCGAAACTCTGAAGAAAAGAATTATGTGAAATTATGCAGTTTAACAAATTTAAGTCAATAAAGAGTGGGCAATAAATAATAACATCTTGATATATTTTATTTTACACCTCCCGAAACAAGATACTTCCAACTGCACATCAGGTGGAAGGTATTATATTATTCAGAATTGCATACTTAATAATCCATACAATAAAAACAACTAAAATGTTCCATGAACACCCAATTTGCCGTTGTTAATTATACAGAAGAGGCAAATCTATTGCTCGAGGATTCGAAGCTAAAATATAGTAAGGGGGAAAAATGAGAATTAGTATAGAAAACAAATACATGAACTAAGCCCAGTATTAAATTTTAAAGCGATTAAATGATTGTTATAGAGTTTGCATGAAAAATTCTACTTTCCATTGAGAAAAAGATAATTTATAATGAATACCACAGCATGCATATTTTTAAGACATTCAATGGTGAGGTTTTTATCCTAAGTGGACATCCACCAACCCCCCACCCCCTCCCTTATCACCAGATAATACGTGTAAGCATAATAGGCTGTATGGTTCTGCAGATTTCTAGACAGCAGTAAGTAAAAGTCATCCAGAAACTGTTCCCTTAATGGTTATTCTCGTTTGATCTTTGTATAGTTCTAAATAAGAAAAAAAATATAATTGAATTTATACATTTAGTAAATATCACACTGTACTTTATAATGACATTGATTATATGTATGAACTAAATACATTTTCAGCATACATGCATTATATTAACTATTCTCTTTAGAGAAGTGGATAGGCTTTCGCTTACATCTAGATGTAGGTGAAAGCCTGTCCACTTCTCTAAAGAGAATACACATTAACGTACTTATTTATACTAACTTGAAAAGTTATACAAAAATGCAATACAGGGGAAAAACCCATATAAAGTATTAAAACAGTAATCTTGGACAATAAGCACGGAAAATACAAGAAAAAGAAAATTCCGCTTCTTTTTAAAACATAATCTTTGAAATTTTTTAGTACAGCAGAAAATATGAAGAAAATGTAAAGGAGCAAAAATGTCAATTTTGACTGAAATTATGAAAAAGAAAGGTATATTCTGCCAATTCCCATGAGATGTGACGAGGTCATCGCGTGATTCAGTTATTCAGCAACTATGCAAAATAATTCTGGCGGTTGATTTCTCAAAAAAATATAGCACTTTATTTTCTTTACATGATCTAGATTTGTGGATTTTATGACAATGAACTATTTTTTATCAGTATTTAACGTTGTATTCAAAACGTTTCAACATCGGATTCTGCCAGATTTTCAGTGGTTTTGTTTCCAACCCTACCTTCGTCATTGTGAACTTTTTGACATTTTAGTTGTAATTGGAAGTCGAAAAAATCTGATTTCTTCAGAGCCCAATGAATTCACTTGCTACGATTAGTAGTCAAGAAGATGACGCCCAGGTGCAGTTACTGACCGAGAATGATTCATTTCTAACAAAGTCTACCGGGGCGGAAAGTGCTTTTGTGTTGTGGACAGACTCAGATGCGCAATAGATTTAAGAGGCAAAATGTTAGATGACATACAAGAAAATGTTTGAAACCACATCTTTGTTTGGTGACAGAAAGTTACCCGTCTTTAACACAATTTATATAGATCTCTACAATTTGCCAAAATGTCTTCATTATCTTGTAGTTTTACTTTGGTTTCATTGTAATCACAATTGTGTGTTTATATAGTAAAATTTATATTATATTGTGGCATTTTACGATAGTTTAAAGCGACATTATTACTTCTCAAGAATTATGGCATTTAGATTTTAGTTGGTTGTATTTTTAACCGTTTAATATGTTTTGGCATAAATCTTTGTCATTTAATATCTATTATTCTCTTAACAATGTGTTGTGTCGTATTGTGCATGAGGACGAGCACTGAGGACCACCTTATTAACGTGTACCTTTCCAAAAAGAGTCAAGGGTGAAAGAGCATAAGTGAAATATATGGAGGTAACGAACAACACTCAAGCTCAAAAGTTTATTTAACAATATTTATTACACACTTAGTAATAAATACAGGTTTTTTGCATATGCGATATGGCTGACGTCACAATAGCCGTATCAGCCCTCCAAGGCTGATATGGATTTGCATGGCTGATAACCTATATCAGCCCCGCAAATCCATATCAGCCCTGCAGGGCTGATACGGCTATTGTGACGTCAAAATCACACCCTCAGTAAATTAAACCACAAAAACAGTACTTGTGATCATACACAATTTTTGATAGGTTCATATTCTCTTAATTTTAACTTTTTTTTTTGAAAAATAAGGTTATCTTAATTTACTAATGCATGTAATAGATTATTTTCAAATTACGGATCGAGTGCATTGAAATAGAAGTAGAAACAAACCCAAATCGTATGAATACGAAAATAGTGCCCGACATGTAGACAACCACAAATTTCTGAGAGGAAAGTTTTTACCTAAAAACTTGAAATCATCGAAAATCAGAAGCCCAAAAATGCAGCAACTTTAATTAGGATAATGAGTTAAGTATTGTGTGACAACCTATAGAAGAAATGTAACGCTAAACATCGGGAAAACCTTCTGTGTATTTTCGGTAAGTCAATGGTATTTACCTGGTGAGCGATACTCATTCTGTTTATGAACATACATTTAACAATGTCAGATATCTCCAAGAAACGGGCACTAGATAAAATGGACAGTACTGACGAGAGTATGGAGCAAGGTGATCAAAGTAATCAGAAACCGGAAGATTTTCAGTTAAGGGATATAATGCAGGGCATTGCAAGTATTCAGACTACTTTGGCGAATTTTATGTTACGGCTCGATGGACAAGGTCGACACTTAGATGAAATTACGAAAGAAATCAGAGCAAAAAATGGCATTCAAGAAAGACTTGAAACTGTTCAAGAACAGGCTAATGACACAATATACCTTGTGACAGAACTACAGGATAACCAGAAAAAAATGGAACGTGAAATGAACAGACTCAAAAATTATGTAATTCGTCTTGAATACCGTGTAAATTCACAAAGTAACCAAATAGTTGATCTCAAGGCAAGGTCAATGGAGAATAACATCATTGTTAGTGGTCTGCAGGAAAAAGGCCCCGAGAGGAAGTCACCAGAGAACCTTGCGCAAATTCTAAGAAATGTATTCATATCAGAGATGAACATGGGGGAGACAGCAGTTGATGAATTACAAATACAGAAACTCTTCCGAATGGGAGAATACGATGCTCAACGAAAATTTCCAAGACCAGTTTGTGTGCAATTTGCCGATAAAGCCCAAAAAGACCTTGTTATGAAACACATAAAAGTTCTAAAAGAAAAGAATTCGGACATAAGAATTGCCCAACAACAACCAGAGGAGATACGGGAACGACGAAAACAGCTGTATGAAGTTCAAAGAAAATATGCAGAACGAAATATCGAGACGAAAATGAAGGGGGACAAGCTTATCTTTACCCAGAGTAATTCAATCTACAGAGAGAAAGTAGGATCTCTTCCAACGGCAGATGAGGTGATTTCCAGCGACGCAGTCAAGATTACCGTTAACCCTGGAAAGTCAATTGAGGACAACGGAAACCGGTTTATGGCGCATTCCACCCAAGTCGATTCCTATAAACAGATTAAACGATCATTAGTGGAAATCATGCGTATCGAAACCGTACCCAGCGCGAGCCATAACGTTTATGCTTATCGCTTCACAAGCAGTGATGGGATAATCCATGAAGGATCAAATGATGACGGGGAACATGGTGCGGGAAGGTTACTTTTAAAAATGCTTGCCGAAAACGAAGTTAACAACGTACTGGTGGTTGTCTCTCGATGGCATGGAAACAATATTGAACCTCGTCGATTTTCCCATATCAAAGAAGCAGGTCTTAGTGCGGTAAAAAATTTACCAACTTCAGTTTGAAAACATGAAAAATAAACACAGTATCATCTTTGACTCTAGAGCTGTTCTGGTCTTGATCTGAAATTATTTTTTAAATGTGATCTAAAGTTAAAATGTGTAATACATTTTTATTGAATTTTCAAGTATCCCGGATTTCTTTCGTCCAGCCAATAATATTCCGGCAGTTTTTGAAACATACTATTTCCTGTTCTTGCTTACCTTATGGCATTTCCCGAAATAAGTTGTGTATTCTTTTTATCAGCTCAACTGTAGGCGATATGTAAGTTTAATTTTTCTACTCAACATGTCACATTATTTATAGGGATCTGTATACATTGTCCTTTTGGTTACTTATAGATACATAATCTAATTAATTAAAAAGACGGACAAGTTGTGATTACATTACACATGTAGTGGTTTCCCTCATAAGAAAATAAAATATATATTAATAAATTTTAATTCACAACCTGTTAGGTAGATTCATATATTTTCTACAAATAGAATAGACCATGTATATTGTATTTCCTACACCTGTAAACCCATTCTCATTCTTTTAAGAGATGTTTAATGTTAACTCTTAAGAAATATCAATTATAATCTGTTTTTGGTATAAACTTTCTACTCTCAAAATCAACAAGGCATGTATTCTCAGGCAACCCACACATTTTTGTATATACACCTTTTTTATTTTTTTGTTTTTTCTTCTGTTTCTGTCTATCAGGGGGTCAGCAGTGTTTTCATCATTTTTTTAGAATATTATGGATTATAATAATGATAACAGCCTAAAAATACTCTCAGTAAATTGTCAAGGCCTTGGTAACATTCATAAAAGAAGAGATGTGCTAAAGAACTTAAAAGCTAAGAATTACAATATTTACTTTTTACAAGATACCCATTTTGTAGAAAAAGATGAAAATATGATAAGAGCACAGTGGGGATATAAAGCATTTTTTAGTTCATTCAAGTCCAATTCAAGAGGAGTCGCTATCCTCTTTAACAACAACTTTGATTTCAAAATCGTCAATGAATATAAGGATACTGATGGTAATTTTCTAATTTTGGATGTCTTTATTGAGGATGTCTCTTTTTTACTAATAAATATTTATGGTCCAAACTCTGACACACCTAATTTTTACATAAGTTTAGTCCATAAAATAGAGCAGATTCATTCCTCTCATAAAATTGTTTTAGGGGGTGATTTTAATTTAGTTTTTGATAAAGATTTGGATTCAATGAATTACAAAAATTTAAACAATCCAAAATCAAGACTTGAAGTAATAAAGCTTATGGATGCTTTAAACCTTAAGGACGTATTTCGTGAAGATAATCCAGTTTTAAAAAGGTTTACCTGGAGACGAAAAAATCCACTCAAACAAGCTAGACTTGACTTTTTCCTGATAACAGAATCCATGCTAGCTATGAATCCACGTGTCAAGTTTGAAAATAGTTATTGTTCTGATCATTCACCAGTTCTATTACATTGTAAATTAAATGAATTTAAAAAGGGAAAGGGTTTCTGGAAATTCAATAATTCCCTGTTGCATGAAAAAGAATATGTTGAACAAATAAAATGTAAGATTAAGGATGTTAAAATCCAATATTCTTGCCCAGTATATAATATGGAAAAAATAAGTTGCATCGAGAATGATACTATTCAACTCACCATTAGTGACCAACTCTTTCTTGATATTTTGTTAATGGAAATAAGAGGAAAATCAATTTCATTTTCAACATATAAAAAAAAGAAAACTTTCGAAAGAGAACAACAGTTAGAGAGAGAAATATTAGAATTAGAGCAGAATTTAACAGATCAGCTAATTAATGAACTTGAAGAAAAGAAAAGAGAAGTAGAGGAAATAAAGAACATAAAATTTAAAGGTCAATGCATAAGGTCAAAGGTCAAATGGATCGAGGAGGGAGAAAAACCCTCAAAATATTTTGTAAGTTTAGAATCAAGAAACTATGTAAGTAAGCAAATACCTAAAATAGAAAAGGACAATGGATCAATTGTTTCTCATCTTCGCTAGCCAAGGGTTTCTGATACGCTACTCTCCTCATAAACCCTTGGCCTACGGTGTTCATAGAAATAGGGATTTTTTTCCAGAGTTCTGATTGGATTTCAGTATACCCAGGTCGACCAATCAACAATTGTTTTTTTGTAAATGACGATATTTGCGTTCGGGATACATCTTCACTCTTTAATCTCGGAAATGAAAAACGCAGTAAACAACGATCCGTAAGATAACATTCAATTCTATGAATAGCCATGGTGTCATCCAATATCTTCTAAATATGTGATCAAAAATCTATATTGAAGCATCAGATTTGTTCTATACATAATAAATAAACATAACTCAATTATTGCATCTTAATTATTCTTGAAAAAAACTTTGATTTAATTTTTTCTTAACACGTGTCTTTATTTCTGGCGATGACGCAATCTGTGCGTACTTGATAGATTCGAGATCACGTGACAGAAAACAATCCCGTCTTTTGACTTCACCATAGGCCAAGGGTTTATGAGGAGAGTAGCGTATCAGAAACCCTTGGCTAGCGAAGATGATTGTTTCTTCCCAAAGCGAGATATTAAATGAAACGAAAGCTTTCTATGAAAACTTATATAAGAAAAGGGAAAATGTAGATACTGAAAATATTCATGATAGACTTAAAGATTATGATATTCCCAAATTAAGTAGAGAAGAATCAAACAGTCTGGAAGGTCCTGTAACAAACTTTGAAGTTTTAAACTTCTAAAACAAATGAAAAATGACAAAAGTCCAGGACCGGATGGATTTACATGTGAATTTTTTAAATTTTTCTGGAAAGATATTGGCTCCTTTATTACAAGAGCAATAAATAATTCAAATGAAAAACTTCAATTCTCAGACTCAAATAAATTAGGAATCATTACTTGTATCCCAAAAACAGGAAAGCCAAAACAATTTCTGAAAAACTGGCGACCCATTAGTCTTTTAAATGTTGTTTATAAAATAGCATCAGGATGCATCGCGGAACGAATGAAAACTAAATTGGGCAAGTTGATAAATAGAGACCAAACTGGATTTATAAAAGATAGATTTATTGGAGAGAATATTAGACTGATATATGATATAATGCATTATACAGAATATAATCAAATACCTGGCCTATTGATGTTAATTGACTTTGAAAAGGCTTTTGATACAATCTCATGGAACTTTATATATCAAACCCTTGACTTTTTTAATTTTGGACCCTCTTTTAAAAATTGGATTAGAACCTTCTATAATGGTATTAAATCATGTGTTATACAAAATGGATTTACTTCAGACTATCTTTTCCCCCAAAGAGGATGCAGACAAGGCGATCCGATCTCACCTTATCTCTTTTTGTTATGTGCTGAAATTCTTGGAATCTTAATTCGTAATAATCAAGATATAAAAGGTATAACAATTGAGGGTGAAGAGTACAAACTCTCTCAATATGCTGATGATACTTCTCTTATCTCAGATGGTTCACCAAGATCTATGGATGGTATTCTCCGAGAATTAGATTATTTTGCTAATATATCAGGCTTAAAGATAAATTTCTTAAAAACTAAAATGATATGGATTGGAAGTAAAAAATTTTCAAGGGACGCATTTCATCACTCAAGGTGGAAGCTTGACTGGGAAAATTCAATATTTGATCTTCTAGGAATAAAATTTTCAGTAAACTTGGATGAAATGCTTGATCTTAATTATTCCATAAAGCTAAATGAAATCAAAACTTTGTTACGTAAGTGGAGTTTAAGGAAACTTACCCCAGTTGGAAGGTTAACAGTAATTAAAACTTTAATATTACCCAAATTAAACCATTTAATTCTTACTTTACCAAACCCTAAGTCAGACTTTTTGAAGATGTTTGAGATTGAATTGTATTATTTTCTTTGGGGTAGCAAAACTCACAAGGTAAAGAAAAATGTTATAATCCAGGACTATAAATATGGAGGTCTAAAAATGATTGATTATACAGAATTCATTTCTGCCCTTAAATCAAGTTGGATTAGAAGACTTATTCACTCACAAGCAAACTGGGTAAAATTATTTGAAGCTGAACTAAAAGTTGATATAAACAATCTTTGGATAAGGGGTTCTGATTATATTCTGAATCTCTCAACAAGATTAAATAATGTTTTTTGGAAAGAAGTTCTGTCAAGCTGGGCAAGGCTAACTATAATAAATCAAGAAAAGGACAGGCATGTGCTTTTTGAACATATATGGAATAATCCAAGGATTAAAATTAATAATAAATCTTTTTTTTGGAAAAACTATTTTAATGAAGGTATTGTTTTTCTTACTGACCTCTTTAACAATGAGGGTAGTTTCATAAGTCTCGACTCATTAATAAACTTGAAAGTGAAAACAAATTTTGTTGATTATAATGGACTTAGAATAGCAGTATTAGATAGACTGAAAAATATAAACTGTGATGAAATTAAAAATGCTAAGTTGATTGGACCACATCTTCCAAATTCCATTTTTGTATTTTATAAACATGATAAAGGTTGTAAGGATATGTATAACATATTTATAAGTAAAAAGAAAGAGCCAGTTAACTCAATCAAAAAATGGAGAGAAAACAGATTTATCTTTGATGAGGCAGACTGGGCTAAAATATTTGAACTTCCTTTTAAAATAACTCAAGAATCTAAACTTCAATGGCTACAGTATCAAATCTTACATAGAATCATCCCAACTAATTATTATCTTTTTAGACTAAAATTGATCGATTCTCCAGCATGTAGTTTCTGCAGAAGTGACATAGAAACAATTGATAATTTATTTGTTGAATGTTTCCATGTAAAAGAACTCTGGTGTACTATTGAAGAATGGATTTTAAATAAGTTTAATATTCATTGTTGTTTTGATAAACAAGCAATACTATTTGGTAAATATGAAAATATGAATGTTTATAAATTTCAAAACCTTTTAATACTTATTGTAAAACAATTTATTTTTGCCTGTAAATATAAGAATGTTCCAAGAATAGATGCTGAAGCTGTATTAAAGAGGATCACAGATAGAATTTTGATTGAAAAATTTTTATTGATGAAGAATTGTAAATATGAAGAATATGAAAGGCATTGGCAAAATATTTGTGATATATTGTAAGTAATAGAGTTACATATACAAGCTGATATATACATGTACATCCTATAATTTATTTGAGTGATTTTTTTTGTATTATTTGTAATAGAAGAAAGGCTTTTTTCTTGCTGACCCCCCACCCCCCTTTTCTTTGTCTTTTTTTTTTTTTAAAAACACCTTTCACATTCTATAAATATAACTCTATACTGTGTGTAGACCTGATGTTATTGTGTACCAAATGATGAAAATTATTTTATATGTACATGTGAAAGTGTTAAAATAAAAAAAAAAAAAAAAATAAAAAAAAAAATAAAAAATAAAAATAAAAAAAAAAAATAAAAAAAAATGGTTTGAGCGATAGACCCTATACATGAATCTAAGAAGTCCACGCATAATTATTTACTTATTTTCTTCTCAACTTAATGTATGCTGTCTTTTATTACTAAGTATGTAATAAACATATTAATACATTACCTTTTCCATATCACATCCTGTATCAGCCCGAGAGACCAATATCAGCCAGAGGGCCGAAGGCCCGAGGGCTGATATTGGTCGAGGGCTGATAC